TGAGCCCCGGCGGCGCGGGCCGCGGAAGTGGGCGGGGCTGCGGCCTCCGGAGCGGGCGGGCGGGCGCACGCGATTGGGGGCAGCCCCAAGGGGCGTGGCCGGGATTTGGAGGCGGGCCTCAGGGGCCGAGGCGGGCGGGGTTAGAGCTCTGATGACGGTCTGGGAGCTCCAGTAGGAGGCAGCAGGGGGTTCCAAAGTGGGCGGGGACAGATGTCGAGGTGAGGCTTATCCTGGAGGCGGAGTCAGGGTTCTAGGTGGGCGGGGCCAGGAGGTAGAGGTTTTGCTTTCTGACCACGGTGGATGGGGAGCGGCCCTTCGAATGGCACCGCCCCCTCTTTCTACTTTTAGGCTTTCTCTGCTCGGAGCTCCAGGCTGCCCGCCTCCTGCGCCTGCGCCCCCCGCAGGATCCCAGACCTAGGCCACCCCCTGGGGAAGGGGCGGCGGAGGGAGCTGGTATGGTCCGGGAACTGGGCCTTACGCTCCAAGCCCTGGGGCTGCCAGGACCCACCCCTGGGACCCCGGCCCGCCAGCTGTTGCAGGAGTTGCACGCTAAGGTAGAGTCAGAGTCCCCTCCCCACCCAGCTACCCCACTTTTCTGGGGAGGAGGTTCCTCCTCCGAAAGCGGCCTGGCAGGAGGGCCCCAGCCACAGGTGTGTTTTTCTTTTTTGTTTTTGAGTGAGAATCTCACTCTGTCGCCCAGGCTGGAGTGCAGTGGCACGCTCACGGCTACTACAGTCTCAACCTGCTGGACTCAGGCGAGCCTTTCGCCTTAGCCTTCCAAGTATCTGGGACTGCAGGCCCGCCACCGTGCCCTAATTTTTTGATTTATGAAGAGATGAGGTCTCACCAAGTTGTCCAGGCTGGTCTCCAACCCCTGGCTTAGTCAGTCCTCTCGCCTCACCCTCCCAAGGTGCTGGGATTATAGGCGTGAGCCATGCCCAGCTCTGACTTCTTTTTTTTTTTTTTTTTTGAGTCAGAGTCTCACTCTGTCGCCCAGACTGGAGTGCAGTGACTGCTCCTGGCCACTGCAGCCTCAACCTGCTGGACTCTGGCGATCCTTCCGCCTTAGCCTTCCAAGTAGCTGGAACTACAGGCGTGTGCTACCACCCCCGGCTACTTTTTGATTTATTGTAGAGATGAGGTCCCACCAAGTTGCCCAGGCGGGTCTCGAACCGGCGGGCTCAGGCAATCCACTCACCTCAGCCTCCCAAGATGCGGGATTACAGGCTGAGACACTGAGCCCGGCTCTGACTTCTTCTTCTATCAGATCTCAGAGCTGCTGCCTTCCCTGCCCCCAGGATCCATGCAGCCCCTCCTCAGCTACCCACTAGATGCACCCAGATGGGTAAGACTGAGTATGGATGCACGTGAACAGTGTCCCTGTCCAGAGATGAGAATGAGAGGGACTTCAGCATGACTGAGACGTTTTCTTCCAGGAAGCGCTGGAGTCTCTGTCCCAAAGCCTGAGAGATCAGTACTGCTGCCGCCGCTCCCTCCTTCTCAAGCGCCTGGACGTCACAATGTCTGCTTTCCACTGGAGCGATCGGGCAGAGGTGCGGGCACAGGACCCTGGTAGGAGCAGGGAGGCCATCTTAGGGGCTGTGGCTGCAGGCAGGAGGAATGTGGGCCAGGAATTACTACACTCTGGAAGTCTGAGGCCCAGCCCATTTTGGAGTCTTGTGAGGTTTGGGGCTTTAGAACTTCAGGGCCCCAGGCATTGTGGAAGTCCTGGGAATGTCTTCAGGATGATATCCCTTCTTTTCTTTTTTTTTTTTTTTTTTTAAAGTTGGAGTCTCTCTTGTCCAGGCTGGAGTGCAGTGGCACACTCATGGCCACCGCAGCCTCAACCTGCTGGGTTTAGATGATCCTTCTCCCTCAGCCTTCCAAGTACAGTAACTACAGACGCACACCACCATGCCCGGCTGGTTTTTGTGATTTATTGGAGAGATGAGGTCTCACCAGATTGCCCAGGCTCGTCTCAAACTCCCGGGCTCAGGCAATCCTCTCACCTCCGCCTCCCAAAGTGCGGGGATTACAGGCTAAGCCACTGTGCCCGGCCAATATCCCCTCTTTAGAGAAGTAGGTAGAAACCTGAATGGGGACACGGTGCTTCCCAGATGACAGATCCCATCTGGAGGTCCTTGGTCACTTTCTGTGTGCTCCATGTCCCCCACCCCCCTAGGCCCAAGGAAAGGCCATGAAGGCAGTGCTGATCCCCATTCGAGAGGTTTTGACTGCGGAATCAGACATCTCCATCGCTCATGTCCTTGCTGCCCGAGCCGACCTGTCTCGTCTTGTCCCAGCCACCAGCGTGGCTGCTCGCAGAGGGACCCGCTGTGCTATCAACAAGGTGGGCACTTGGGGTGGAAAAGGGCCCTAGCCCAAGCTGGTCTTCTCCCACCTGAACTCCTGGGCTCCCAACTCACCACCTCTCGTCCGTCCCTGACATGGCAGCTAGAAGGACCTTTCTCATATAGAAATCTGACCATGTACTTCTGTAGCTCAAATAATTCCACAGTGATTTGAAAACAAAGTCCAATTATTTACTGACCCCAGCTCACCTCTCCAGCTTGGGCTTAAGATCCTTCCCTACCACATCACCCTATAGGTTCCTAACTTTTTTTTTTTTTTTTTTTTGAGTTGGAGTCTCACTCTGTCGCCCAGACCGGAGTGCAGTGGCCGCTCCCGGCCACCGCAGCCTCGACCTGTTGAGCTCCGGCGATCCTTCCACCTCAGCCTTCCAAGTAGCCGGAATTACAGGCATGCGCTACCAGGCCCGGCTGATTTTTTGATTTATTGTAGAGATGAGGTCTCGCTGCCCAGGCGGGTCTCGAACCCGCGGGCTCAGGCAATCCACTCACCTCAGCCTCCCAAAGGCGCGGGATTACAGGCTGAGCCACCGAGCCCGGATTGATCACTTTTTTTAAAATTGGGGTCTCACTCTGTGGCCCAGGCTGGAGAGGAAAGTGGCACACTCACAGCTCACCACAGCCTTGACCTCCTGGACTCAGGCGAGTTTTTCGTCTTAACCCTCCAGAATAGCTGCGACCACAGGCACTTGCACCCCACACCCGGCTAACTTTTTTTTATTTTGTTGTAGAGAGAAGGTCTAGCTATGTTGCCCAGGCTGCTCTTGAACTCCTGGGCTCAAGCAGTTCTTTCACCTTGGCCTCCCAAGTGCTAGGATTACAGGCGTGAGTCACTGTGCCCAGACCAATAACATGGTTTATTTGGTGGCGTTTGCATCAATAAATTCTCAGCTGGGGGAACAAAATGAATTCTGTGAATTTAGCCCCATTTGCGTCATTTTATAGGCCATCATTTAGATATCTTTGCATTATGAACAAGCAGCAATTACAATAATGAGACTAGCTGACCATCTCGTCCCATAAATGG